CTACAACCATACTACCATACCTTTACCTCTGTACTACATCCACACTACCACACCCCTAACTCTGTACTACAACTCTTAAACCATGTTTCTTTTCTTTAGGGGAGGCTATTTTACTGCTGTCCTGGAACAAACAAGTCACAATGCAAGGTATTTTGTTGGTATTTAAAGTTACATAATTATAAGTGCATCAAATTTAAGTCTCCAAGAATAAATTTAGTAAACACAATTACTGTATATATTTGAGCAGAAAGAGCCTAAGATGCTGCTCCACTCATATTAATGTTGAGTTTATAAAGTAACAAAATGTTTTTTAATCAGTTCTTTAAATGGGTTAATGAATTCAAGAATTCCAAACAGAGTAACAAACCAACTTTACAAACTAACAAACCTAGTTTGTGTTCAGCTGATGCGGTTGTTGAGTTCTTTACCAGTCAGGTTAGTGATATACTAGGTAAATGATATGATTCCAACTAATTACAAACAATGGGTGACAGGGTATTGATATTATTTACCAGTCAGATCATGATACTACTGTTAACTGATATGATTCCAACTAATTTACAAACAATGGGTGACAGGGTATTGATATTATTTTGCAGGGTTTGACTTTGCACTGTCAGTGTCGTTTGATCATCAAACATAAAAATACTTATGCTGGTAAATCTGGAAAACAAGGAGGATATGTAAGTAGGTTGTTTTTAAGGCCAGTAATCTTATTGTTACCCCATCTTGAGTCAAACAGCGGTCAGCGTGAGCATGGATCATAAGATAAGAATTAATTGTGTCAATTAATTTATTTCAAAAAGGCAAGTTAGTAATATTTGTATTAATTGTGGATTATTACTCATCAGTGGTAATTCATTGCAAAGAGTTTAATCAATTAACTTGATATGCTTGGTATTCACACAGATGAATCTCATTACCTCGCTGTTGTTGGCTCTGTAAAGCTTTTTGGGAAATACAGGGGTCCATCCTCTGGGAGCCTGTGTTTGATGAATATTTATGAAAATAATCTTGCTTATAACTGTATCTATAGAGATACTCAAGGAAACGTCTTGAAAAAAGTGACGATAACACAGACTACAAGAAATCAATATACCTTGAGTTGAGCAATAAGCGAAGACCTCATGTTTCCTACAGCAAAGGTGAAAAGTAATCTTTAAAAGAAGCAAAATATATTGTCTTATCATCATAAGTATTATGCTTTGTGTACCTAGATTTAATCTCAAAATCTAAGGTGATCTATATTTGCTGTTGCTGCTCTCATCATCAGGAGCAACACCTATGTTTTGATAAGGAACTCCTCTGATATTTACATCATTCACCTGGACTATTAAAGTTACTGAAATAATTGACTTGGCTGTATAAACGTTTTTTGAGAGTTGGATAGCATGTCATTATTTATYATATTACTGATTTATTTTGTATTACTCAGATGATGTGTGGATTGTATCAAAAAGTTTGTTGTTTGAAAAAAGAAGTACGTTCGTTGCTAAAAGTACATACTTTGGTCCATTCTCAAGTGGTGAATTAGAAATTTCCCCTATTGGGTAAGTAAAGACTTCCATTAGTGAAGAGAAAAACGTGATTATTTCTTAATATGACATCCTTCCATTATTCGTTTAACAGTGGTTACTCTCCTTCGAACTGGCATTCTGGAGGTATGGTCTGTTACGTTATCATTTGATCAATAGAATACATATATTATACTATCTTGTTACTATATACTTCATTACTTATAACTAGGAATGTGAAGAATAGCAAGGCAGGCTCAATATCTCCACACAGATATAACTGACTTACCCAACATCATTTCATTTCTTTCAGATACAGTGTATGCTTTGCATGGCTGTAATGCAAGCAATGAGTTACTGTGTATCGAAAATATTGATGCGTATGTCAATAATCGTTGTATGCCTTTACTGGACAGTTTATTACGCAGGTTAGTGGTATGATTAATACTGTTTTTGGTTATTTACAAGGGTTAGGATTAACCTTGGTTGAAGAGAAAAACTAATAAAAAGTCGAGGCATGTGGGCAGGAAGGCAGGCACGTGTTTTCTTTCACCACCTCTCCGCTTCATCAGCAATCAATGATTGCAGCGCATTTACCAACTTTAGGTAAACTGTCTTGCTTCTTTAACCAAACTTGTCACACTAATGGAAGAGATGTCTTAAATTTAATGATAATTATTTATTGATATTCATACGTACAGGCAAAGTGATGTTACATCAACAAGACGACCAGACTCTGGTTCCATTTCATTTGTACCTCCAACACCAAGTTTACAAAGACTGTTGAATGACATCCCTACAGATGTCGCGGTATGAGACATCGTACCCATTACTCGGGATTTAAAGCTGATGCTCAGTACATTAGTTAACCGTGTTTTATCTTCTTATTTAGGTTAAGGTTGCCAAGGAAATTATTGACGAATATAGTTTAAATACGGTCAGTCAGATTCCCTCTTAATAATTTTGCTTCTTTGTTTTCCTGCATTTTATTGTCATACATTGATTGAATGGTGTTTTTCAGGACCAAGGGCTTGCCTTGATTAACTGTGCCAATATGTTTACTGATGCCCCATCAAACATCTCTCTAATACAAGGTATGCTTATGTAGATGCATAGCTTAAAATCGGAGTGATGACATCCGTGAACTATTTGCTGGTGAAAAAAAAAAATCAGGTATTCCAAACGTTTAGGCCACTTTGGCCATCGTCAAGTGGTACTATATTCACAATACTATATTCAGTAATAATAATAATTCAATGTTATGTTATAATACTATTTTTCTTTTTCTTGTCTCTATACAGGAGTGTTTGGTGCTGGGAAGAGTTATCTTCTTGCTGTAACCATTCTTTATCTTGTGAGATTGTTTACGAAGATAACGCAGAATGACGGGTGAGATTTTTCATGTTATTAGCCGAGTAGGGCGTTTTCTCATCTGGTACTAGGTACTCACGAGTAATGAAGAAAATATATCAATTCTATTGCAGAGCAAGCAATGTTTCTAAGCCCAAAATACTTGTGTCTTCAACAACTAATGTAGCAGTTGACCGTATTCTTCTTGTGTAAGTTGAATCAATAGTTTCTACTCGAGCTTTTTTAGTTTTGCCAATCATCGCGTTAGAACTGAGTTAGCCTGGCTCCTACGCAGACCTTCTTCAGGTCTGTCACACAACGTTTCCCTCCCATCCTCGTGGGGACGTTCTTCAGGTCTGTCACACAACGTTTCCCTCCCTTCCTCGTGGAGACGTTCTTCAGGTCTGTCACACCACGTTTCCCTCCCCTACTCGTGGAGACGTTCTTTAGGTATGTCACACCACGTTTCCCTCCCCCTCCTCTTGGAGAGAGAAACAGAGTCACAGACCCTAAGAACGTCTACGTAGGAGGCTAGTTAGAAGCATCTAAAGTTATCCATGTGCTTTGCTTACCCCACAGTTTACTGGAGTTGGGGTTTGAAGAGTTTGTTCGTGTTGGTAGCATTCGTAAAATAGCTAAGCAGCTGCTACCTTATAGTATGCAAGGAAGTGGAAGCCAGGACCAGGAACTAAAAGAATTGCAGGCTATGCTTAAAGAGGATCTACAGCCATCTGAGAAGCAGTGAGTAAATTTTATCGGCAAGTCACTAAACTTTCTCCTAAAACATCAAATAAAATGTCTCGTTCTGATATTACTTTTAGTTTGCTGACTTACAAATGTTAAACTTATTTGCAACTTTAACATTATTTTAATCTAAATAACGAATAGGAATTATTATTTTTTAATCAAAGGGCAGAATGACAGTTTTGATATTTCCTTATCTTATGTTACTTTGATTTAAATTCAAGATTATTTTAAAAAAAGTAATTGATTTCTGTATATTTTTCATTTTTAAATGACGTCTTTCTTGCAATATTAGGTGTATATTCTGGATCAAGCGGTAATAATATAGTTATAATAACTTAGCATATCCTATTGTAGGGATATTCGCAAGAGCATAGAGAAACAAAGACGTGGTGAAAACAAAAAGGTGAATGAGTAAGAATGATGATTATTCTCAGTCACTTATACAAATTTTCCTAATCACGTGATACACACCAAACTGAAAAAACTTGGGGTTGAAAAGTTTAAATCATCTATACTAGAGCCGACAAAATGTTTTGTTTTCGGTAACTTGAATTGATGACCGAGCTGCCGCAAAACTGCATTATGCATAAATAAAATAAAAAAATATTAATAATAACAACTGAACTATTTGTTTATAGATATAAAAATCTCTGCTCTTTACCATGATGATAAGAAAAGGAGATGTTAATATATTACTAAGATATCAATACTATCATTATAACTACTATTATGCAGTAGTGTGCATACCATATATCCGTGAAGAACTTTGCAAAAATTAGTAAGTTCCGTAGACCTCAGTAGACCGTAGACCTACCACACTTTGCACTAGTTTGTACAATTCATTGAACTAACTTTGTTTACGGATGTATAGTATAGGCTCTATTCATTTTTATGATAGAAATAGCTGTGAGCAAACCAAACTATAAAAAGGTTTTCACCCGACAACATTTTCCAATTTGGTGTTTATCTACTATCAGAAACTTGACGGAGTGCAAGTGGTCGGAGTCACGTGTGCAGCTTGTGTGTTTCCATGCCTGGAAAGGATGAAGTTTTCTGTGAGTATCCAGTCGTTTACAGAAGCTTATTTTCCTTCTTCTAAAAAGATATAACTAGCTAAAAACTAGTGTGAGCTGCGTCGGTGTTTCTAATGAAACAGTAATGATGAAAAGGTAAATTATACACCGTGAAAAGATGAAAA